CCAGCAGTCTGCATACAAATAAATTAACTAAAACAAAATTAACATTTAAAACATAAATACATAAATGCTCTAATTTACATACTGTAACCTTGTAAAATAACTTCTCTGTCAAGAAGTGTATACTTTACATGTGAGAATTCTACAACATGAAACTTCATGAAGCAAGATGCAGAGATGATGTATGTTTTATAAGAAAGTCAAACTCATGATTAATTATTAAATTTAACATAAATGTCAACAAACGATACTGTTATCATGAAATCACAGGAGAAATAAAATTGTATATAGAAAAGCAGAATTAAGAAGTACAAGGAATTCATAAAAATATAAACACTATTTACCTTTCTTCAAAGAATACTGATGTTCACAAAATTCCTCCTGCAAGAAAGGGAGGGAAAATAAATGGCCTGCATGACAACTTTACAGTAAACTTTAAATGCTGTGGATGCTTTCTAATTTCAATTTCAATTTATCTACGGCTTTAAAAAAAACACTATAGAAACTGCTTGTCTGATGGAACAGTGGTTTTGTCATTGAATCTCAGCTATGATGGGATGTTTCTTCATTGGTCAGGACTTCCGGGTCAGCCCAACCTAAGATAAGTACAAGGAAACGACCTGGAAAAGGAATTGGGGACTCCATGGCAAAGTGGTTATGCCGTTCACCCCACACTCTGAAGGTCGTGCATTTGTTTCAATGTCATTTAATTCACTAGTGACTTTTACAAATAACCATCAAGATCATCCCTGGAGCTACAGACTTTCTGCTATGTGCAGATGGCTAGTTCCTCCACAGAGACCAAGCTAATGGGATAATCTGGTGCAATGTAGCTGATTCTCTCAAGTTAACTTTAACCGTGCAGTGTAAAAGTGGCTGGCTTGATACAGAGCACATCATCCTCATTGCCAGTTGAGTATATGCATTTAGGCTTAAAGCCACTTATCTAATACATCTCACTGCATGAAAAGGAATCCGTTTACTTATGAGTTAAATATTTTTTTAAACTGTAATTTAAACAGACAAAAATATGGCAAAAACATCTTGAAAATGGAACAGGAGTCTGGAAAGAAGGAAAGGTGCCAATCTAAAATCCAATCTAGAGTAAGAGTATCATCAAAAAAACTGTTCCAGGCAACCAAGGATCGTGACCTGTGGAGACGTATGAGCGCCTACAACGACTGGCAGGGAACATGATGATGATGAAGAGAACCTAGTTAACTGAAATTTTGGGAAGGATCTGCATTTAAAAAAAAGAATAATAGATAGATGGAGAATTAAAATTTACATAGAAGGTCAAAGTAAACATGTGTCATGAGTCTGAACGACGACCATAAAATTAAAGCAATGTTTCCCCGTTGTAAATTTAAACAAAGAAGACACAAACAATAGACTGCACAATTTATTGCCTGGCATATTTCGCTGTATCTCATCAGGTGCATACTTCAGTAACAATTAATTAAAATGAAGCAAATAGCTTCAGACCATAAAATTACTAGGTTGTGTGAAACAAATGGTGTTAGCAGGACAACAAAGCATCAGAAACATGTTGCATTTCAGTTACAAGACCAGAAACATGCTTACAATAATATATACAGCCAATACAGAATTTGAAACAGCCACACACACACAAACCAGAAGTAAAACTATGAGAGAAAAGAAGGAATGTTCGCAAAAGTCATTCTGAAAGGGTTTAAATGGTCACTAAATAGGAGCTATGCTTGCTCACTGACAAGAAGGTATTGAGTTCAATTAGAAGGTGAACTGTTAGAATTAAACTGTAGTCTCCAGACTGACCTAGACTAAAATTAGTATCAGGAAATGTTTTGGGAAGTAAAGGAAGCCAGTGTGATGCTGGCCTCATCCTCTAACGAGTGCCAATTGGTCTCTAAAAATATGCTCCTAATACTCAATGACTAATGCACGAATGGCAGGAGAAGATTCTTAACTTTTAGTCATCATTTTTTCTGTTGTGCCATCATATGTTACATACAGCTCATAAGTCTAGTCCTCCATTCTGTTCTTTCATGTTCAATCTCTTTAATATCATGAACGAAATTTATTTCAGCACCTTTGGTTTCTCTCATAAACGTTTGTTTTAAGAAGGGTTGAGTGTGTGTGTGAGCGAGCACGCACGCATGTGAGTGTGGTGTGTGTGTGCATGCATGCATATGTGCATGTGTGTGACATGGGGGAGGGGGGAGAATCCTTGGTTATTCAATACCTTTATTTCTTAATTTAGTGCCGACTTGGTGATTCTCTGGTCATTTTTTTCTGGTGTGTCCAATATAGCGCCACCTTCTTTGTCATATAATTTTTTGTCATAAGCGGTTGTCCAGAATGTATCTTATTCCTTCACTCCTGTTGATTCATCTCATTTTTACTTTTATTACAATTGTAATACACTCTTACAGACTGCTGTTTGTTCATCTCTTGATGTTGTCCTCCCACTTGTACCAATGTCTGCCTCTTACTCTCTTGCATTCGACCTTTCCCTCCAGTATGATTTGTAAAGAGTCTTATGTCTTTTAATCTGGCTGAAATGTTTCAGTTAAACAAGATTATAAGATTACTTACATGTTCTTTATTTGAGACAGGCTTTCTGTCATCACCACCATTCACAGCAGCATTTTTACTAGCATCTGTCCGCTCACTTACAAATTTCCTGTCACTGTGAATATAAATGGATGTCTTCATTCTCCCTGCATATGACATTATTTCCAGGTACTTCAATATCAATGGGCATACCATAAAACTGAAGACACAATGCAGATACCCACCCCCTTCAGGGTTGTAGATTACTTTACCCTATGGTGCCCCAATTTAACTCATTCATCTGACTGAACAGCCTATCTGAGATTTGCTCCTAGTGGATTTGCAAAATAAAACTGGCTCTCTGAGTCACTGGGTCCAATTTCCTATGTGGGTTCTGGGACCCTATTTTGGGGCTAACAAAGAATTCTTCCATCCTACTCCCCTCGCCCAAACCAACAAGCGTGTCGTAAAAAGCGACTAACTGGGGATGTTTCCTTCTAAGTGCATCTACCTGTCAGGCAAGGAACCAGCAGTCTGTCTGCACTTAAATAAGCCAGATCCATACAACAGATGTGCACGCAGACCTAAAGTTCTGGAACAAGACAAAAGTCCAGAAATGAGAGACCAATCAGAACATTCCGCTGGAGTTTAAAGTCAGTGAACGCTAAGAAGAAGAGACTAAGTCTAATCATTAGGCAATAATCGAGGAAGAATTGTTTGTAAATCACACAGTATAAAACTTCTATAATGTTTAAAGCATATACATGTTTATATATACATATGCATAAATATATGTGTGTAAATACATATATATAAATGTGTGTGTGCATATATACCTGAGTGTGTGCGTTATGTATATAAGTACATATGCATGTATTTATATGTATGTATATTTACTTGTACATGCTGTTCACTGAAAGCTTAATGTCAAAATGTTAAAAAGTGAGAGAATCATCTACGCTGTGTCACACAAAGCATGAAACTCTGTAGCTCCAGCAATGATCCTCAGGTATCTCTGAAACATCTGCAGCCATAAAAACCAAAGGATGAGGTACTAAACTTAGCCCAAGACCTTCAGCACATGGCTGCACCATCTTGCCATAGAGACCAGTTAACATAATGCTGTGAACCTTAAAAAGATGAAAGAAAATCTTACTGCAGCAATGACAGTATAAGTGGGATACCACCCATCTGCCTGATGTCATCCCGGCACTCAGCATCTTCACACAGCAAGACAAGGCACCAGACCACATGCCACAGTAGGCTGACATTGTCACTGTGCAGCTGGCTGCAACCAAACAGGATCGTAGTCAGTGAGACATTTTTGATTATCAGTTCTAAAGCAATACCAAAGAGGCTCAAAGCTAGGGCAAACCAAAATCTAACACACAGTAGCTCCCAAACATCTTGTGCTTAAATCCACATCAAACCACCTTTTGTAAATAACTGACCTTTGACCCAGATTGACTTCGCCTAAAATGTTACTAGGAAATGTCCTGGGAAATAATCACAGCTGGCAGGATGTTTGCCACATGCCCCACCAAAGGCATATTCTTCAATTCTTCTTCTTCTTTAGTACTTTTTCTTTACTTCTTCTTCTTTTACTGCTTTGAACGTTGAGGGAGATATAAGGTTCTGCTTCTTGCTCCTCTGGCTGCCTCGGCCACAGACACATCATGGTGTTGTAGAGTTTCTTTGATGTTGTCTTTTCATCTTGTTTTTGGTCTACCTTGCGCTCTGCTCCCTTCTCCTCTTCTGGTGTATGCCTTGTATGGTATGTAGTCACAAGGCATTCTTTCTAAGTGGACAGATCATCTATCTCATTTGCTGCTTTTGTATGAAATTTAGAACTGGTTGTGTGTCAACATTTTTTTCTTCTGGTCACTGTTGCAGTCCTTCTCAGACATTTCATTTTAATGGTTACTAATTTTCTTTTACGGTTAGTGACAACTGAACCATGTCTGGCACTGGTAGCTTCATCATCAAGTGCCTGGCCGACTGGCGAGGGTGACCATACCTCTTGACAGTCTGTGATCTGCAACTGTGTGTACCAGTTCGTATGTTGACATCCCTCCACGCTATGACAAAAGGCTGTCAAGAATCGTCTTCCTCAGTCTCTCTTTCCTAAAATCTTTCTGGTGGTCACAACATATTCCAGTTCCTCTCTTTTTTAAAACACGACCAAACAAAAATGGTAACTGTATCTTTCTGATGTTTGTGATAAGCTGTCTTCGAGCATTCGCCTCTTTGAGATCGGAAGAAACATACCAAGCACCTTTTTTTTTTGTACAAAAAAATATACATAATATAGATGTCTAGTTTCTCTAATGTGTTTTACTTGTAAAATTTCAAAATGACATTACATCTCTGCCTTCTTTTCTCCTGCACTGTGTGCAACACATAAGTAACAAAGAATTGCAGTAATCTTAAAACTAGTGTAAAACATAACCTAACAGAGGTTTTGGTACTCAATTCAAATATATAATAAAGACCACTGACCTGAGCAAGATGGGTACTCCATCCTCCAGTTTGACATATTCCCTAGTCTTTGGGTCTGAGCACAACAACCTCAGTAAGTTTGCAGCAAGTCTGCAGATAGAGCACATAGAATAATAAAACATCTAGAAGTGTATTGTGCATATGGTGCCGGTCACATATGTTTATAAACCAAACAAAAATTGAAGGGTGATGCTCTTGTTTTCATGCTGCCACCTTTACTTCCTAGAACCTATCCCAATACTTTTTTTAAGTGTGGTTAACCAGGAAGTCAAGATCCATTTTTTTTGTATTACACAGGTCTCAAAGGGGATCTGAACACATGACCACTAGACTGACAGACAAGTGTGCTAGCCACTGTATTATCAAGGTTTCCCAGATAGTATATAGTATGACAAACAACTTCTTACACGTTTAATGTGCCTCTGATGCCTGGCTGTGCCGATCTTTACTCCTATTTCTGGCATCCTTTGCAGCGATGTGGATCTCTGCTCCCAAACCCTTCCAACTGTCCTGTCTACAAGGACATTAAGAATATTGGGGGGGGGGGGGGGGGGGAAGTCCCTTGCAATATACTCAAAGGGGAGCTCGACCGAAAAAAAGAGTTAGAGCAGCAGTTCTCAACCAGTGGGTGGCGACCCATTTTTTGAGTTGAATTACCCTTTCACAGGGGTTACCAAAGACCACCGCAAAACACATTTTCACTGAAGTTATAAAGTAGCATTGTTAAATAATTGTATTGGTGGGGGGTCACCACAAAATGAGGAACTGCATTAAAGAGTTGCAGCATTAGGAAGGTTGAGAGCCACTGAATTAGAGCATATGCCCTCGAATCAAAACATGTCAAGCCTTGTGGAGACTTTTTATAGTAAGCTGGATTATGCTATAGGATCAGGTAACCAATCTCACACCAGCCCTGCTTAGTCATTTCTTACTCACAACATGCTTGGAAGGTGACAGTGTGATTATTATCTGCTTTTCTTTCGTTCCCAGAAAACATAGCTCAAGTCTCCCGTGTGGATTCCGGGGCCCTATTATAGGGAAAACAAGAATAGACCCACTGCCTGCCCAAAAGCATGTCGTAAGAGTTGACTAATTGGGAGTTTCCTTCGAAGTCGGAGTGCATCTGCCTGAGAGGCAAGGAACCAACAGTCTACACTCAAATGTGTCAGATCTGTCAAACGGATGCACACGCAACATTCAGGTTCTGGAACAGGACTGCAGTCCAGAAGTAGACGAACAACCAGAACTTTCCACCAGAGTTTACAGCTGGTGAACGCAAAGAAGAAAGAAGAAGAAGATAGCTCAAGTAAATGTCAATTGTGTATTTTCAAAAATATAAACTCATTATTCAACTAATTACTTTCATTGATTACTGCAAAGCCTAGTATTATTTTAATATGTTGTAAGTTGGTGGCAGATGTTGAGTACAGCTACAGATAGGCATATTTATATACAAATTTAATAATATTCAGTCAACACATATTTCTTAATGAAACATATACATACTTTTTAGAAATGGTGTCATATTCTTGAATGATTCTTAACAAGATTTCCACAGCATTCAGTTCCCCAATTTGTGATTTAGGACTTTCACTGAAAATATAACATCTTTTTATTACAAAACTATATAAAGTTTTGAAGGTAAATTATAAATACATGAATTTTAACTTCAATTTAAAACCAAAATAAAAACTATGATTCTAGTTATCATAGCATTAATGATCATAATGGTTTAAATATGTTCTGTATAGTGTTTATCTCTCTCTTTCTCTATGAGTATTTAGATGGTTAGAGTTTAATTACGCTGCAAATCTTTCAAAAAATGACTGGCTCCCAGGTCGACCCGTCCTTGAGTGGGTACCAGGTACAGCCCTAGGAAGTAAAGGCAGATGGGGTGATGCTAACCACATCACCTATGGAGTTCTGATTGGTCTATAAAATATAGGTCTAGCTTTATTTGTCCAGTACACACTTTTACAGTTTAATTGTTAGTTGTTTACAAATATTTTGTTTTCAGCTACATAAGGATTATAAAATAAATGTGCACATCCAAAGGCGTGTTTACTAGAATATGTAAATTGAAAACAGAAGAATATTCTTACTGAAAAGTTGTTTATGACATGTTCTTCTGTATAACTGTAAATGCTGTAAATAGGCAGGGACTGATTGGGACCTCCAGTCAGCTGTGATGTGGTTTTAACAAGAATGGCAAGAATATCACAGATAAAGAAAAGAAAAAAAAAAAAAAACAAGTGCAGAGTTACTGATAGCATGCACATTTTGAGATCACATATTAAAAAAAACTAAGAAAAAAACAGGTTTATAGGGCATATGAATTGAAAATAGGAAACTGAGAAACTAGCATTTTGTGGAGAAACTTTTAGGCATGAGAAAACTCAAGTGCCTCTGCATACTGTAAAATTAACAAATTTTAGCTTCAGGAACAAAAACTGTAGCAATAAATAGCAGAAACATATAAGGATATAATTAAAGAGTTACAAAAACTTAAAAAAAGAAATGATTACCTTTGTGCCAATCCAATAAGAGCATACAGGCAGCAGTGAAGTACAACGACATCTGAAGCTGTCAGCAGTCGAACAAGAGGCTGAAAGAAGTAATTAAAACAAAGAGTCAGTTTAAAAAACTATCCCTTTCATCCATTAGGACCAGCAACAACATAACAGTGTGTGAGCTTGTCTGTCAAGACAGTGATCGAGGTTCAATCCCCATCGGAGAGAAACTTATTTTCTCCAATGAGTGTGGCTGTAAACTCTACCCAATTTTCAAAAAATGAGCTCCAGATAATTTTTCATATCTCAACCACATGCTGTAACCTTTCTTTGGTCACATCATCAGAAGGGGAAAAACTGGGGAATGTCACAACAGGAACATCGGAGGGAAAGAGATACAAGAAAGACCAGAAGGGAAAATGGTTGGAAATTTTTTTTTAAAAATCACATGCTGTAACCTTTCTTTGGTCACATCATCAGAAGGGGAAAAACTGGGGAATGTCACAACAGGAACATCGGAGGGGAAGAGATACAAGGTAGACCAGGAGGAAAAATGTTGATCATTTTTATATCATGGCATGGAAGAATCATCTGTGTTTGCAAGTGACTGTAGGTACATTAGATAAAAGGCAGGAAAGAGGGATATGAAGGCTAATGCCTTGCATAGACTATAAGAAGAATAATGTGACCTAGAATAAGTGAAGCCTTACACACTTACACCCTAATGACAGTGACCGCTGTTGGACTACCTTTACTTTTGTCTAGGGGGCTGCATGGTCTTGAAGCATGGAGGTTCCGGGTTCAATCCCCGGTAAGGGCTGAGATTTTTTCACGTGGACTTCTCGTAATTCCCCCTAGTTCCCTGGTAGTGATATCGAACGACCATGTGCATTGATGCGCATGTAAAAAATCCCTTGGCAGTTGGAAACTGAAAAGAGGAGCCTAACAACGCTGCCCTGGCAAAATGTGGCGTTAAAAATCTACCCAAAGTATTTCAGGATCCTTACCGGTGCTACAGAGCCTATGCACTGTGCTGAACTTCTTTCAGACTAAGACTTCAGTTAGAAGAAGAACAGAGCACTTATGGGTTTCTACCCATGTGCCATGATATTGGTCAGTTGTTCAAACCTTAAACCTCAATACTCTTGTCGATCCCCTTGCTGGAAAACCGGACTTATTACATACTCAGCATAATACACTAAGCTTCTGGAGGTCATCACTACATCTAATGAGTATTTCAACATCATGTTTTGTGCTTTTTTTTAATGTGGCAATGAAGGCAACAGGTTATCACACCTCAGTAAAATGAACAATATATTTAAAAGCAAACAATATATTTCCTTCACCCATTAATCACTGACATAAATAATCAAACAAACTGCACAGCTGTAGAACATAAGTAAACTTAAAAATTATAAAATGTTCTACAATTTACCATATGAACTTCACACTGTACTAGAATATCACATCTATCCACTGACGATGTTAACTTCTGAAAGATATCTGCAATTAAACAAAAACAGAGAAATAATAATATGACAAAGATATCTGCAAATAAACACATACAGAGAAATAATAATATGTATATGCAAATTTGTCACAGCTGGTTTATCTTTGAACATCCAAAAGATACTTGCATTGAAAAAAAAGCAGGCAAAAACCATCCAAACATTTCTCTCTTATTAATTCTACTCTGTTAATCATCCAACTTCTAAATTTTATCTACTAGAAAAGATAAGAAAAATCACATATTTTTACAAACTAATAACCACTTAAATGGCTTTTGAATCCATCCCCTTCAAACTATTAGCCATTAAAGTGGCCCTTGACAGAGACAGTCTAATATTGTTTTGTTTGCTGGGAAAACTAATTTGTGTGAACATGTTTTATAAAACTAGATTTAGTTAAGCGAAGTTCTATTATTTTTTAAGTTTGGCGTGGTGTTTGCGTCACTTTCTGATTTTTTTTTTTTTAATTTATTACATGGGATACAATTTTTTGTGATTTTTCCAGACCAAATGATAAGGGCAAAGGTCTAGAACTGTTCACACTACTCTGTCGTTGATGAATCCCAGTTGGTATTATGATAATGCATGTGTGAAACCAAAGGCTGATAATTCAGGTTAGGGTGAAGATCCCAACCTAATCCGTACAGCTTTGATGATATGAGCTCTGTCCATGGTTCCTCCCAATTGCATTGGTGCATTACTTGTCTGTAATACTCGCCAATTTTGTTCACATTAAATGAGTGTTCTTTTGAAGCAAGTTCATATTAACAAGGTTTTACTGTATGTTCACTTCATGCGGCGTCCGTGGCTTGGGTATTGCGAGTCCGACTCATAATTCCAACGTACCACGATCAAAACCCACTGCTGGCTGTGTGGAATTTTATCGTGGTATGGGGCGTCGCAGGTCGACCCAGCCTAAAATGGGTACCAGGATTTATGTCCTGGGGAAGTAAAGATGGCCAGCGTAATGCTGACCACATTACCCACCCAGTGCCGAGTGGTCTCTAAAAATATGGGTGCTCTTCCCATATGCCCGATGCGCCTAAAGGCGTGAAAAGGGATCTTTACTTTACTACTTTTACTTCATGTATATGAACAAGTAAAATACTACACTAAATGAACACTAAATATTACAAATATGTTATATATTCTTATTTGTTACATAGTAACCTTACTTGTCATCTCTTTGAGAATATCCACTGTATATGGACCAACTGTGCTTAACAAATATTCATCTGTGATTCTTTGAAAATACTGAAACAAATGAAAGGCCATGTACAACAGCAACAAAAACAAAATAAAGTAAGTCGCACATCACATCACTTTCTTGTCCGAGAAAAGTTGGAAAACAACCCAAATCGTTAAGGTATTAATTGTATAGAGGCTTTAAACGTTATAACAAATAATGAAGGTGTTATACTATAAGAGGTTATAACTATTATAAAAAGTCATGAATTTATTACTTTCAAAGAGGCTGTAACAATTATAAAAAATCATGAATGCATTCATTTTAAAAACGGAATCATGAATGTGTCACTTTCAGAAAGGTTATAAACATTATAACAAATCAATAATGTATCACTTTCAAAGAGGCCATAATCATTATAATAAATCATGAAGGTATTACTTTCAAAGAGGCTATCAACATTAAAACAATTACTTTCAAACAGACTATAACCATTATAACAAATCATTCAGGTATTATCTTCAGAAAGACTGTAATCATTATAACAATTACTATCAAAGAGAGTAACTGCACAGTTGAAGTGGCCATAGCAAAAGCCAGATTTCTTTAGTATTATTATCCATAGCCCTATTTGAGGTTAAACAAAAAAATAGTCCCACAGTCCTCCAACAAGTATATCATAAAAGGTGACAAACCAGGGGTGTTTCCTCCAAAGTCACAGTGCCTGAGAGGTGATGAACTAACATTCTGCATACATATAAGCTAGATGTAGAACAGATGCGCACGTAGAACTCAAGTTCTCGAACAAGACCAAAATTCAGAAGTGGGCCAACAATCAGGATTTTCTGTCGGAGTTCACAGCTTTTGAACAGGAAGAAAATAAGAAGATAATCATGCACCATGATGACAAGCATGAGAAGTTGAGGTTAGCTATCTCTTGTAATCATCAGAATATCAGATCAGATGTGCCTTATATCCTGATTTTGCAATGTGGAACAGTCATCAATGCAATTATTTTTTTTTCTGTTTTTTGTTTTGTTTGTTAAAGTAGAACTAAACAGAATAGAACAAGCCACCTTAAGGCAGGGCCTTAAATAATTAAATTGTACTGTGTAAAGCATTAGCAAATATACATTTTGCTCTTCTCCAACTAGCTGTTATGAATGTGAAACATTTGTGCCAACAATGAAGATGGTGAGTATGGTACTTACCTCAGCCAAAGATCTGGTGCCCTGAGTGTTGAAGAATAATGTTTGGTAATGGGAGTCCCTAAGTAGAATTCTCAAACACATCAGAACCCTCAAAATGTTTTCTTGAGATGCCTTGGTAAGCCATTCTCTGCAATATCATACACACACACACACAAAATGATTTGAAGTCAATCTTGATGTCATATACTTTAATAATATCACATTGCTCTCTGTGGTAAAAGTGACCAAAACCATTTTATGTAATTAAAGGGAAGGAAATCAGGTAATTTTTTGCCCTGAATTTTGTGATTACTTCACTTTCCTTAGAAATAAACCTGTTCTCGATGCATACATTTAGTGATGGAGATAAAGGTAAAGTTACTTTAACATGTGACCTCTAGCTCTACTTTATTATTGTGTCTTCAGTGAAAGGGCTCTCAGTGGTGCTCTATCTTGTGGTAGTCATAAAACATGTCCGGACTATTTGATCTTTGGCTTTGGATGCGGTATATAGCACTGGCTCCGTCCAAACTTATTTCCTGATATCAACATTTCTGAACCTATCTCTTCTTGCTACATCTAAGATTTCTGTAGAGATTTCAATTTTTATTTCCACTCTTTCAGTTTCTTTTGTTGTTAATATACATGTTATGTCTGCTGTTGTGGTGAGGTAAAGTAAATGACAATGCTGTTCAATTAAAACACATTTTGAACTATCTCTTAACATGCTGAATAATCGAGAAATGGTCATTCTATGTGGTAAACAGCAGGTGCTGAATTTGTGATCATTGATTCAGAATGTGCTGAATTAGCTTTTATTTTGTTATTCTTTCATTTACAGTCAAACTGAATCTAATGACAATAGGCAGAAATGTTTGTGATTCCAATTTTTAAAGAACACATCAAGAACTGACATCCCTGCACTCAGGATTTTCCCACATGTGCTCAGTCTCCTTCCTCAGTAACCAACAAAGAATACTGGTGCTAACAGTACTAGTTTCAATCTGATTAAAAGTTGTCCTATCCTCTTCCCTTCTTAGTGTTGAATACCTTCCAGACACTGCTCACCCCTCACTGAACTAGTCTTTCAATGTATGGATTATCAGTCCCTTCTGTTATGCTGCCCACTTTATCCCATAGAACCTTTAGCATTTCTACTTTATCATAAAGTAGCTCAAACTTAGAGAAGAGGCAGCAGCCATTCTATCAGTCCGCTCACTTCCCTGTACAACTGAATATCCTTGACAGAAAATCCATGATGCTCTTGATCTGAGTCTTATCAAGCGATTCAAATTTTGATGTCGGAGGATGCCGAATTTTATTTACACTATGCTCATGCTGACAGTTACATGAATTACATGAACACTGAATTTAACGATCTTCTGATTGGTAACATGTGTGATTCCCATATGATCATGCTACTTCTACTTGTTTTCAGGTGCATCTTCGGTTCAGTCTGACAAACCCAAATATGGAACGGGTGAATCCAAGGTGCTGTATCAAATGCTAATATCTATATGGGTTCCCTGTGGGGGAAGGATGGGGACAGACAAAGTGGTTCCTAACAAGCATGTCGTAGAAGGTGACTGAGGATTTGTTGAAATTGGGATGTACTGGGCCAATAGGTGCAGATATCGCATCCCTATCTGTAAAGCACAATGCAACATGCTCAACCCCCTTTCTAAGATGAACAAAGAAGAAGAAGAAGCAGCAGCAGCAACTGGGGGAGGAGGGGAGGGGAGGGAGAAGGGATGGGGAGGCGAGGGAGAAGGGATGGGGAGGCGAGGAGGAGGAGGAGAAAAAACAAAAGAAGAACAACAAGAACAAGAACACGTAGAAAAATAAATCCATGTGTCATTTCCCCATAATTTGTTAGTAACATCTCATTGGATTTTTAAAGAACTGCATCTAATTTTCAGCAACAATAAAGCCTAACAATACTCAACATTCAAAAACTAAATTTACCAAAGTAATGCCAAACAAATCTCAACATTCAATAACTAAATTTACCAGACTAATGCCAAACAAATCTCAACATTCAATAACTACATTTACCAGACTAATGCCAAACAAATCTCAACATTCAAAAACTAAATTTACCAGACTAATGCCAAACAAATCTCAACATTCAATAACTAAATTTACCAGACTAATGCCAAACAAATCTCAACATTCAATAACTAAGTTTACCAGACTAATGCCAAACAAATCTCAACATTCAATAACTACATTTACCAGACTAATGCCAAACAAATCTCAACATTCAATAACTAAACTTACCAGAGTAATGCCAAACTAATCTCAACATTCAATAACTAAATTTACCAGAGTAATGCCAAACTAATCTCAACATTCAATAACTAAACTTACCAGAGTAATGCCAAACTAATCTCAACATTCAATAACTAAACTTACCAGAGTAATGCCAAACAAATCTCAACATTCAATAACTAAACTTACCAGAGTAATGCCAAACTAATCTCAACATTCAATAACTAAATTTACCAGAGTAATGCCAAACAAATCTCAACATTCAATAACTAAACTTACCAGAGTAATGCCAAACTAATCTCAACATTCAATAACTAAACTTATCAGACTAATGCCAAACAAATCTCAACATTCAATAACTAAATTTACCAGAGTAATGCCAAACAAATCTCAACATTCAATAACTAAACTTACCAGAGTAATGCCAAACTAATCTCAACATTCAATAACTAAACTTATCAGACTAATGCCAAACAAATCTCAACATTCAATAACTAAATTTACCAGAGTAATGCCAAACAAATCTCAACATTCAATAACTAAACTTACCAGAGTAATGCCAAACTAATCTCAACATTCAATAACTAAATTTACCAGAGTAATGCCAAAAAAAATATCAACATTCAATAACTAAATTTACCATAGTAATTGCCAAACTAATCTCAACATTAAATAACTAAATTTACCAGAGTAATGTTACAAAAAATCTCAACATTCAATAACTAACCTTATCAAAGTAATGCCAAACAAATCTCAACATTCAATAACTAAATTTACCAGACTAATGCCAAACAAATCTCAACATTCAATAACTAAACTTATCAGAGTAATGCCAAACAAATCTCAACATTCAATAACTAAATTTACCAGAGTAATGTCAAACAAATCTCAACATTCAATAACTAAATTTACCAGAGTAATGCCAAACAAATCTCAACATTTAATTACTAAATTTACCTAAACACTAATATTAAGTTTATTTTATTCCCCATTTATTCCAGGTAATAAATTATGTGGAGACAACTTAATACCATGAAATCTTATCCCAGTCTCACATGTCAATCACAGTGTAAGGAATGCAAGCTAATGATCCGGCACGGATCTCAGTTAAAAAAAAAAAAGTTTTCTTCAACATGAAACAACACGTTTCCTCAGCTCATATTTCACAGCTGTTTGCCCAGACAATCCAACAAAATGGAATGTAAATGTAGAACAGAAAAAAAAAAAGAACTTACTGTAAACAAAGACGGTTCTTTGTCAAGGCTATACAGATCTGAACAAATGGTTTGTGGTGCGGATGAGTGCTGAATTCTCTTTGGTCTTTGTACTTCAGACTGGAGAAGAAATTAATAACTTGTTTACAGCTCATCCTTCTCTCTTAATACAACACTGAGCATGTAGCAACTGACAACCCCAGTTTTGTGTTGGTTTATTAATCCTTTTGACTTCCTACATATCAATCACGTCTGAATTCACAGTTTTTGATGTGCAGTACCTGCACAATTGGTCATCAATTGGTTTATAAAAGTACTGGTAAAATGATTTTATAGAATATCAAAGAATCAAGTGATCTGTTTAGAATGGGACAAAATCAGCCAGCAACTAGAGCATACTACATGAGAACAGCAGGTTGCAATCCAAGAGGCAAAACTAGAAAGATATGTGTGGAGGGAGTAAGAGAGACACCAAAAAAATGCAAAATGATATTAACACAGGCTATATAATTAGCAAAAAACAGGGAACTGTATATAACTCATCTCTGTAACTCTTTATGATATGAGCAATAGAATAAAAGAAGAAGAAAAAAATAGATTTATTTAATTATGATATCTCTCTGAGGCCATTCAGCACATGAGTCCGGTCCACATCTGGCCCACTTTCACAGTAACTCACCTAGTACATAGTAACAGGCAGACAGACTGGATGGTTCTGCACCACCTGATGGTCAACCGATGCAAGACAAGCTAGACGTGGTCAAAGCACTTTGAGAGTGAGTGAACTGTGCAAAAGCAAAAAAACACAGATCATTGTCATTTAGATAGAATAGTGAAACAGGTAGTGACAAGGAGATCTGACCAGCACTCAACACCCAGAGTAAAGACTGGAGGGACATACAATCAGGCTGCAACTGATACCATTAGAAATAGAACTCGGTCTCTAAAGTCGGGTATTCAGAGCTTATAGGAAATGTCCCAAGTGCTGTGATTTCGGTTCTCAACTCAACCCTGCTCAGCTTGTTGATTTCCAGCTTACGCCTGTATGCTCCTGGAACAAAAACTATATCTGATTTCTTTTTGTCAGATGTGACTCCTATTCAATTTCAGCCATTGTCTTATTCAATCTTCTTGAATATACTCAGCAAATTATTAACAAGTTTGGTAACATCAAGAAACACAGTTCTAACTATATTTTAAAAATGATAATATAAATAACTGAAAAAATAAAAAAACCAATACAGTTGAAAATATGAAGATTACCTAAATCCAAAAAACTCAAAGAGCCAATACAGTTTGAACGAACAAACAAACAAATTTTATTTTCAAAGGGTCACAAATTGGGCACTCAGGCCCATCTTGCATTCGACCCTTCCAAAAACCCGTCTTTCACGCTGCAGTTGTATTTTGTAAATAAGCATGTTAAATTCAAATGATAATATCAAGGGAAAAAAACACAAAAGCATGGTTGGTAAAATTTCTGCACACACTAGCGCATATACACACACCCACATACACCCACATACATTCACACATATAAATAAACAAACCCATATTCACGCACACACATACATACCTACCTACCCACACATACACACATCTCCCACACACATAATTACATACATACATACAGATACACAGACAGACACACCCACAGAAACAAATATAGACACACACACACAAACACACATACACACACAGACACAAGCACACACACAGACACACAAACCCGCAGATACACACTTGTGGACACACACACACACACACAAACACACACAGATGCAGACACACACACAGATACACACTCGTAGACACACACATGCAGACATACAAACACACATGCTGATGCTCACAGACACATACAAAATATGAAGATTACCTAAAATTAAAAAAAAACAGATACAGTTTAAATTATGAAGATTACCTAAATCTTTCCAGCTCCAGTGTTTCCTGTGTCTGGTTGTGATTTGACTCCACCTTGGATGTGAGTGCTGTATCACCTGAGGCTGGTAACACTTTTGAAAATGCATGCTTTGGAGATGTCAGCTGATACAAGAGTAATCAGAAATGTCAGTTAATTACTTGACTGTTTATGCAACTACTAAGCAGAGCATACACAATTTCTAAATTTCAAATTGTTTTTTTAATGTGAGAAAGGTGGGAAACCCCTGTTAGCTGGAGTTACAAGTTCTAACTGCAATCTGCAATTATGATGTGGTTTTTGAAAACAGTGGTGAGAATATTGTGGACAGAGATGAATGGAAAAACAGTAGCAGTAGCAGCAGAAGTAGTAGCAGCAGTAGTAGTAATTTAAACAACGAAGCCTGTTAACCCAACCGGGTTCTAATTTGATTTATATATATATATATATATATATAGTTTTTTTTTCTATTTCTATTTCAAAATTGGATATTGATGCTGGTCAATTGTTTCTGGTTATTTAATATTGCACAGATTATGTATTGATTGTAACGGACTGTACAGGTAAATATGTTTTCTTTTTGAAACACTGAATATAATCAAAATACTGAATATAGTCAAAATCATAAGGAAAAAACCAAATAAATCTATACAGCATATAATCAGTTTAAATTAAAAGTGGAAAGTCTAGAGAATCAACATCACTGCACCATGTACTATCCCATTCAGTATGGCTCTCTCTGCTGTATGCAAGTTGCCTGCTGCGTTTTGGTACAAAGCACAAAGCTCCTGCAATGATCCCACAGTTATCTACATAAACATGGCACCTGAGAACCGAATGATGCAGTCCATGAATCAAACCTAAGGCTCTACTGTCAAATTTGGCCGGTAAGCTGGACTGCTTCGGCCGGCTTAGCGGGGCTTAGTGGGAGTTATATCCCTTGGCCAAACTCAAAACAACTCAAAACAAGTCGCGGAAAAAGTCACGAATCAAACGGCATACTTACCTATCATCATCCGGGTGCGTGTAGGGTTGCATAGGGTGTCTATCATCGTCCTACGGTTGCGTGTAGGGCTGCTTATTGCGTGTAGGTTGGTTGTTTGCGTAAGATGAGGGGTAGGGTTAGGGGTTAGGGTTTAGGGTTAGGGTTTAGGGTTAGGGTTAGGGTTTAGGGTTAGGTGTAGCGTTAGATGTGACAATTGTGACGCCGTAGTTCCCTACAATCGCGCACAGTCGCATGCACGCGCAAACAGTCGACGGATGGTGGATGCTACTGACACGGACAATTCGCCTCCGATTGGGGCACCAGCCGCCGCGCGCTATTGCCGTCATATTTGGCACACTTCCAGTGGCGCCACTCCCACAAGCATCAGATTGTCGGCCAGTATTTCGACCTCCTACGTGAAAATTGTCACATCTAACCCTAACCCCTACCCCTAACCCTAACCCTAACCCTACCCCTAACCCTCCCCTAACCCTACCCCTACCCCTAACCCTACCCCTAACCCACACCCCTAACCTTACCGGTAACCCAAACCCTACGCAACCCTACACGCAACCGTATGATGATGATGATAGACACCCTACGCATCCCTACACGCAACCGTATGATGATGATAGACACCCTACGCAGCCATACGCGCAACCGTATGATGATAGGTAACCCTAGACTCACACCCATGCAGCCCTACACGCACCCGGATGATGATAGGTAAGTATGTCATTTGATTCGTGACTTTTTCCGCGACTTGTTTTGAGTTTGGCGAAGGGACGCAAAGGGACATAATTCCCACTAAGCCCCGATAAGCCGGCCGAAGCAGTCCAGCTTACTGGCCAAATTTGACAGTAGAGCCGAAGAAGATATACCAGTTGATAGTTGGGGTGATCAATGTCTACTTCCTCCTTCCTAAATATTTCCTAGTACTCATTTTAGATTAAATTTTAGAATGGGTCAACCTAGCAGCATTGGTGGTTTTCAAATTCTCATCTCAATGAGGATTTTAACTCATGACTAATGAGCCAGCATGTAACTGCGCTAGCTACTGCAGCACACACTCAGTATGTTTTGGGGGAACAATTCACCCAGCCTATAAAGAGATCAACATTTTAGCTTTTAACTGCGGCAATCAATTCCAAGACTGGATGATGTAAAAGCTCACTATATGGAGCCTAAGCAGCTGCAACATTTTCATAAACAAATGTAACCAGTGCAGAGATCAATCAGAAAATATACAATCAAATTTTCAGTTAACAATGCCTAAATATCTCACAGCAGAAATTACAAGCAGTATAATTTTTTACCTTTTGTTTGCTTGAAGGTGTACTAATCAACTCCAGAAGATGACAAAGAGCTTTTGCCTCTCTGAAACAATTATTAACAAAATAAGAAACACGAGGACACTATTCATGACAAGTTATAAAGTTAACTCATTCTCTATTAAGCAATTCATCATGTATTCATTGACACCTCCATTCACCACATTAATCTGTTTAACTCTTGCAGTTCCAGCAGTTGTTACTTGAAGGCACTGAGTGTCAGACAGTTGCACAATGACTTGGGACAGATGGCCATCAAGAAACAACTTCTGGGAGCAGAAGAATTCCTATTCTTCTTTGTTCATTCACTTCCCAAATTATGTGTGTGGTTTCTGCACTCATTATGAGGGGGAAAGGGGGAGATGATTAGACCCACTATACAACATACCTGTAAAAATGGACTAGTCAGGTGTTTGCGAAAATAGGATTTGTAAGGCCAAATGTTGCCTATACACAGCAACTAGCTGTAAACCCCAATGCAATATGCCAAACATCCTTTCAGGGGTGAATATAGAAGAAGAATAAGTTTACCCAGTCACTCTTTTGAACACAACAGTGTTGTGTCTGTTTACAACAAAGTTGTTATATTTCAGCTTTTTGACCCAGAAATCCAACTTTCACAAGCTTTTTCAAAGTCCTGGTCAGCCTTCTTGCCTATAAGATATTGACCACTAAACTTACTCAGCTGGTGTTGCAGAACCAACCCTACACATTTTGGGCTATATTTAATTTACTGGGCAATTTTAAGTTCAGTAGTTTGCCACTGTCTCTGAACAGTCAAATTTCAATACCATTTTTTTAAATCAATGTAAAGTGGCCTGCTGCCACATCACCCGCAGCTGGAATAAAATTAGATACTTCAGTTTATGCAGCCAACACTGAACTGTATTTTGTTTTATTCAGACATTTTGATAGGAAGCGGTTGTAGCAAAGTGCACTAGTCTCCTAACCCAGTGATCCCCTGAATCCCATCTGAGGTGAGAACTGTTTTAAAGTGACCCATCCTAGAAGCCGCAGCAGTGTCACAGTTAGAGTCTTGCCTGCCAGCATGAAGTATTGTGGGTTTTAGCCCGCACAACATAGATTCTGAAGAAACAAAAGTAACATAAGGGAACACTTGCTGACTCCACTTCACAGGGCACTGTCCTCGCACCAGTGACTGTATCGCTCTAGTGTAAATGCAATAAAAACGTGATCCGCTGGGATTCAAACACTGGCGAGATTGCAGTCAACGCAAACGATATGGATTCTCTTGTGGGGGAGTCAAGGCATGATGACAATCAAAGCCAACTACGTGTACTCTCCCTGTGGGATCAACTGTGGCGAAATCAGAGAGACCGATTTAGCTGACTTGTTGCGTCATGCAATTTGGTGCTAATCAAGCCCACGGTGGATGTCAGTAGATACAACCAGAGCTTGCCAGATAGCGATACATTCTACACTGAGGTAAACAAAGGTTTCAGAGGTTAATGGATCTGTAACTCTGGTGGGTGGGGCTGTGGTGGTGAGAGCTGCAGTACTGGAAGGAAGAAGCGATGGCCGTTATTAAATTAAACCACTCGTGATTTCGTTAAAGCTAGGGACTGTGGTTGTATTCTTCCCCACCTTTTCTCTCTCTCTCTCTCTCTCTCTCTCTCTCTCTCTCTCTCTCTCTCTCTATATATATATATATATATATATATATATATATATATATATATATATATATATATATATATATATATATATATATATATGCGTTTGTGTGTGCGTGTGTCCTTACCCTGCTTCTGGGTAGATTTATAGGTGATGTCCCCCCCCCCCCCTTTTTTCACTTTCACGTCTCTCGTTGATCGAATTATCTGTGTTTGCCCCCCCCCCCACCCACCCACCCCGCCTCTCGCACGCGATCTCTCCCTCTCACCCCTTTCTCGTCTCTTGTTGATCGAATTACATCTCGTGTCTTCTTCTGCCTACCTACCTACCTACCTACCTACCACCCGTCTGTCTGTCTGTCTGTCTGTCTGTCTGTCTGTCTGTCTGTCTGTCTGTCTGTCTGTCTGTCTGTCTGTCTCTGTGTGTGCGTGTCTGTCTGTGTGTCTATCTGTCTCTCTTCCTTCTCTCGACTTAATTTCGTTCTCTGTGTGTGTGTGTGTGTCTGTCTTGTGTGATTTACTTCTCCCTCTTTCTTTACCTCATTGCAAACGATCTCTATTATTTCGTGTATTCTCTTCCCTTCCATGTACTGCACATTTTAATCTGTACCCATCCCCCCCCCCTTTTTTTCCCCCACCTTTTTCCTCGATACTGTAAATCGATTTTCAGTCAATCTCCCTATTCAATCGATATCAATAATTGATCTGTTAGTCTCTCTCCCACTCTCTTTTTCCTATCTCACAGTCGATTTCTATTATTGATTTCATTGTCCCTATCTCAGCTTTAATGTTTTCTCAATCAAACTACATGGTTAGCACTCCGCCTCTCTCCCTCTCTCTCTCTCTCTCTCTCTCTCTCTCTCTCTCTCTCTCTCTCTCTCTCTCTCTCTCTCTCTTTCTATCTTTCTGTCTCTCTCTGTGTCTCTGCTATATGTTTTTTCAGTCAATTTACATAATTAGTCCACTCCGTCTCTCTCTCTCTCTCTCTCTCTCTCTCTCTCTCTCTCTCTCTCTCTGTCTTTCTTTCTATCTTTCTGTCTCTCTCTGTGTCTCTGCTATAATTTTTTTCTAGTCGATTTACATAATTAGACCACTCTGTCTGTCTGTCTGTCTGTCTGTCTGTCTGTCTGTCTGTCTGTCTGTCTGTCTGTCTGTCTGTCTGTCTGTCTGTCTGTCTGTCTGTCTGTCTGTCTGTCTGTCTGTCTGTCTGTCTGTCTGTCTGTCTGTCTGTCTGTCTGTCTGTCTGTCTCTCTCTCTCACTCTCTGTCTTTCTTTCTAGCTGCCTGTCTCTCTCTGTGTCTCTGCTATAAGTTTTTTCAGTCCATTTACATAATTAGCCCTCTCTCTCTCTCTCTCTCTCTCTCTCTCTCTCTCTCTCTCTCTCTCTCTCTCTCTCTCTCTCTTCCTTTTTTTCTTCCTGTCTCTCTTTCTGTCTATGCAATAATGTTTTCTTAGTCAATTAATCCACTAGCCCTCTCTCTCTTTCTTTCTTTCTTTTTTTTTTCTTTTTTTTTTTTTTCTTTCTCTCTCTCTCTCTCTCTCTCTCTCTCTCTCTCTCTCTCTCTGCTTAAACGCTTTTTCAGAGGATTTTTATGATTAGCTTGTCTCTCTTCCCCTCTCTGTCTCTCTCTCCCAGTCATCTCGATCAGTGTGTATCTAAAGTTGTCGGTCTATCTATTTACGCATTCAACCATCCATGAATGTATCTATCTATATCTCATCTATTTATATTCGAAACTATGTATCTCTCTCTCCCCACATCTGTATCAGATTATTTCTATGATTCTCTAGCTCTTCTCACCACGCCTCCATCCATCCCCTCGCACTCTCTCGTTCATCTCAAGCGATGTATACCAATGGTTTTCTTCTGTCTCTATCCAGAGCCCCCGCCCCCCTCCCCCATATATATATATATAAAACTGATAAACAGTCTTACCCTTTCTCTCTTATCTCCTACATCTTTCTCCACCACCCCCACCCCTCTCCCCCTCTCTCTCTTTCTCTCTATGTGTGTGTGGGTGTGTGTATGTGTGTTTCCTCTCATGATTCGCTTCCAATAAATCTGCCCGTCTGTAAGTTCACGTTAAGCTGTGTTAAAAGCCATGCACACACGTGCAATAAATTCATTCATACCACAGAAAAAGGCCTTTGACAAGAGCAATACACAGACACCGGAAGGCATCCAATTATAAAGAGACTTAAAGCTCTGCCATACATAACGTAACGTATAACTGCACAGCATGATGATGAATGATGACAATATTGATGATTATGAAAGCTCTATCAAATATCGTGATTACACCCGCATACTGACGTCTTCAAATTGTTATTGCAGAAAAATCAGTGTTTCAATACCGAGGTGTCACGCCCTGCATACACTGAATTATGAAATTCCATAATTCAATACAAAATAATTATGTCACTTTTATATCAAGTTTATATAAAAATAGAAAAGAATAAGTACTCTAGCCCGTTATGCTAAATTTTCGTGTGTAACAAATATCCTTCAAAAACGGTCATGGCTGATTGGTTTCCTGTTAATAATATCGCCTGGCGTCTCTTTAATGCATACTGCCTTTCCGGATCAAATAGCGCCAATCGATATATGTGATTTAAATATCAGTTACGTTCATTGCCGCAGTCCTCTCCTGCCCCGCTAGCAGTGTCGAGTTTCCGTTATCTGACGTTAAAAGCAATGCTAGCCATGACAAACTGTCTACCCAATATACCGTGTTTAAGAATGTTGACACGCTGTTACAAGGGCATGATTGTGGAATAAGGATCTTGCTGACAAGGTCACAAACATTATTTATTTCTGTGCCTGATCGTTCCCCCAATGTGGCAGCCACCTCAAGGCATACCTACTTACTGTTTAATGAGAAGCTTTTTGCTTACAATGTCTCTTATCTTGACCCAGAAAATGGCACCGACGTGCTTAACCAGGCTTCGCCCCTAGGTCATGTAGTCGTATTAGCGTCATATATTCTTCATTATTCACCAGCTTAATCAGTAAAGCGTTGACGTGACTACTCTCATTAGCTGTAACTTCATTATCTTTCACTCCCACATTCCAACAGCAAGTAGGTCCAGGTGGGGAAGGCTGTATGCGCACATGTGTGTGTGGGCGTTCGCGTGTGTGCATGTGTGTATGTGTATTGCGAGCACAAGCAACTGTATGCATGCGTATTCGCGAGCTCGCACAGTGTATTTCACGTAAAAACATACACGCTCACCGGCAACATAAATGACAACAACATAAACTAGCTCTACGCGAAACATGGTGCAAAAAGCCGCGACTGTCAATAAATCCGCCTTAAAGAATATGCACATCGTCCGTCTATTACTGGGGCACACGGGGAGAGGCAAAGAAAGATAACAATGGCTTACCACACACAATGGCGATGAATATGTG